GTAGTTGGGAACGCGGACCCTTGATGTTTGCTCTATCTGTGCTGAAGTGTCTGTGTGCACAGCAATTCAAAGCATGGTTAAGTTATTAAGTAAGTCACATGCACAATGTGATATACTTTCCAACGATTTATCGCTACTTTCCAATGGCAATTATCGCTTACTCTCAACAGCTCAAGCCACAGCTTACTACTGCACAACAACAATGTGGAGGGGAGAGAATATGGGCAGATGGCTTGCTAACGACGTCATGAAAAGGTGTGTGTTTTTGTATTTACACTACTGACAAGTTCTTTTATGTCCTTCCATACCTTCCCTAACCTCTCCTTTGTGCATCATTCCCGCACATCGGCGCATGTCATCTGTGTTTGCTGGCATTTGTATTTGTCTGTGATTGTCCCTGCTTGTCTGTGCTTGTCTGCACTTGCCTCTGCTGTCCTGTGCATGTTGGCGCCTGGTGACCGTGCTTTTGCTCATCCTGGACTCATCTGTATTTGTTTGCACACTCTGGTTGCGTCTTTTTTCTATCTATTGGTGCTTGTGCACATTTACTTTTGGCACTTCCTTTATTTTTGCATGTATGCGCACATTTTTGCTTGTCTGTATCTGGCATCTTGCACAATAGGTATGATTTTTCGATTTGTCAAAGGTTTAGAGTCTTTTATGCTTCAAGGTCTGTGTTTAATCTGATACTTTTAAGCTTCAATACTACAGGTACAGGTGTTTCCAGAGCTTTTGAATTAGCCTTGCGATTGATATGATTGATGTTCATTGTCCGCTGTTCAAATTGATAAGATGTAACAAGGATGTTCCAAGTAATCCAGAACTCAAAGAAAGACACCTGGAAGGGGCTGGATCATCTCATCTACGAACACCCATCCATCTGAACTGGTTGTCCTCTTGACCACTAGTTGTGAAGGGTGCAGTGATGCTATCAGTAGCAGTGGTGATAGGGAAGCAATATTCTAGCTTTGGTGCATCGTTGTCATTTGCTGTTGTTGTTGTTGTCTCGTCTAGTAGTTCTCCGCGACTTTCTTACACTCTATCAATGTACTATATTTTTCTTTTTGTATCACTTTCAAAAAATTTGTTGCTCTATGTAGACACTGCAGCACGCTCCATGGGACATTGCTACCTGCCTTCCAATTTGCATGATAGTATGTACTACACAAAGTTTGTCCTAGGAATTCAAACATCTTCAACTTAAAGGAGCGCAATGCCACTTCAGGACGTTTTAACTTTTGATACACAGCACTCTTACTGTTGTCGGTCATGCATATTGGATTCGCTTCACCTGCCTGGATAGGTGCGACCTTCTGCCCCTGCTGCCTTTGCTGCAGCACCTCTTTTCAGTCCCGTATCTTTAGCCTGGGAAGGACGTGGTGCCATCTTGGTGGCAGTGGTTGCAGCGGCAGCCTTGCCAACAGGACGAGTGCGGGGTTCATCAGGAAAAACGGGAACTCCAATATAGCGCTATGGAGGCTATGTAGCACTTATAGCCTGGTTGCATCTCCCCCCCCCAATATTGTACCATGTAGCCTGGACTATATTTTTAGTTGCACAATATAGTGTCTGGTATGTTGTACCTTGGCAATGTAGCATGGCTATGTAGTGATCTATAGTAAATCATTGTGGTAAGTACATCTCATGGTACATCATACTACGAGCACTTGTGCACTTGCAAATAGCAGGGAGATCAATGGCATGCATTCACAGTTTAATACAGTGGTCAATTCTACTCGGCCTCGTCAACACCCTCGGACTCCAAGTCAGACTCCACCTTGTCACTGGCATCTGCACTGCCAACCTGTTGATATTCACAAATCGCGTTGTTGATCTCGTCATCGGACAAACAGTCTTTGTCTCCAACATTGATCAGATCCACCTTCGCATGCAACCTGTTCATATGATTATTGTCAAACTTCGAAGTTCAAATCCTTGAGAATCAGATGTACTTACCTGCCAGTATTGTTGAGTTCTGTCAGGATACTATTCAGTATCCCATGATCCTTCGTTCGAGCGTGAAATTTTTTGAGGTTCGCGAGATGCCGATCATAAGCTTCCCTGTATTCACCACTCAAAAAGCTGATATCCACGCATTCACCGTCGCACCATTCATCAATGCAGCATTCAGCCTGCAGCCAAAAATATCACTGCCTGAAGCCAATGAGCAATAGAACGACTCACTGTGGTCTACACCAAGGCCAATGCGGGTATCGGAAATGGCGAAAAAACTTTCTCGAACACAACTCCATCATCCTTCTTGTTGTGGTACCAAATTAAATTCGCTGCTTGCTGATTCAACCTTGAATGAAATAGACCACTGCGAGGCACATTGTTCTTTTTGTCCCCGAGGTCCTTCCAACCAAATGTCAGTACCAAACATGACTCAAGATATGAGAATGCACCTGGTAACACATGCCAAATTTATCCTTGAGCTGGTGGGCGAGTTTTCGATTCCTAGACTTGATGGACTCGCGATTGGTGGACTTGAAACCGTAAATATTCTCGACAAGTGGGTGAACCTTCCCTTTCACCTCACTCGTGAGATGCGAGGTGCGCCGGGTAATCTTGATCCAAATTAGATAGATGAAATCATAGAAATCGAACACATACCAATTGTATAATCTCTCCATTAAAACCTATCTCTACTTCATAATAGTTGCAGGCCTCCTTCCAGGCCTCCTTTGCCCACAATACCTGAGTCATTTGATCTGGATAGGCATACTCAGATGTGAGCCAGACACAAAAATGGCTGATCGCATACTTGATAAGTTGCTGGACCGCTACCTCGTAATCCCGGGCCACTACACGGCCCTTACTCTGATGAATCTTGCATGGAAGTCTCTGTTCACCTTGCTGTGGTGAAGGCGAATGTGAGGACTCCCACATCTGTTTACGACTGTGTTCACCCTCATCATCTGAGGGTGGTAGTCGCATACACTTCAAGTGGCGCTGATCTGCATGATCATCCAGCTCCCATTTGAATGGATGATAGAGTACCACTCACCCTCGTAGTTGTCACCTGTATCTCCACCAGCAAACACATCACCGTTGTGGTCTTTGTCGTTGTTGTGGTCTTTGTCGTTCTCATTGTCTTCATAGTTGTCGCTGTCATATTGCACGCTGTCATTCAAGTCATCATTGGACTGCGCATGTCGGAGTTGGATGAGCTCGTTAGTGCATGCCATTGTCAACTTCCTTGGTGCAGGCAGGGGTTCACAATTGAGAAACCCAGTCTCCTTGGAACCAAAGCATCAACGTCAAAGTTGAAGCGAAGTTAATCATGCGGCTGACTTACCTTTGTAAGAGGGTCATCAAACCAGCCCCCAGAGCCCCCAGACACAGATGTTCTCGATGGAGCTGGTGTATGAACCTTTGAGTTTGATCAGTTATCAAATACTAACAGTCAAAGGTATTCCAAGCTTACCTGTGTGATGGGCTTTGGCTGTGGGGTGTGCTTCTCTTGTGGGGGGACTGTGCTGAACCGGGGTTGCAGATCAAGTGGACCATTGGCTGAACCTTTGGACAGGGTGATAGCCTGTGATGAGAACTGTGTGCCATCTTGTGTACCTGGACATGATTAAGTAGCAGGCAACTGATGCAACAGTCAACACACACCTCTGTTGCCATGATTTTTACAGGTGGCCTTGATTTTTTCTTGACCACTTGGGCGGCGCCGTGCCTCATGGCGCTCTTGGTCCTCCTCAACTATGTATGATATAGTTAGTAATAATAGTGGTAGTGCATAAAAAAACATACCTTGGTACAAGGCCTTCTCTGAAGGACGGCGTTCATGTCATTGACACTGAGAGGGCCCAGAATCAGTATGGTTGATAAGATTACTCAGTGCTTGGCGAGTAGGAGCAGTAGAAGACATTCTGGGTGTGAATAGGGAGTTAGAATATTAGGAGGAGAATATGGGGACAGAGCACACCTTTGTTAAAACATCACATCCTTTATAATGTCATGTCCCATCTGTGAAGTTACACGATCAACAGTCGATGCGCTGCAATCAACAATTGACGCGCTGCATCAACAACACGAACGCGTGAGGTCAGGTGCACAGGCAACCTGCAATCTTGAGAGATGGTGCTGATCTTGAGGAAAAAACTTTTGATGTCCGATGTCGGACAGATGGCACAAGTCAGCCCAGTGAAACTCGGTGAAACTGTCACTTACAGGTCGGCTTTTTCAGCTTGTCAACCTCCTGCTCATTCATCATGCAGCACTGCTGCAATTTTTGCCTGAAAGGCAATTTCCAAACTACAGGAGCCGTTGGCATTCACATCAGCAGAACTAGAGCCTGTAAGGAACACATGGACTGGCTGTGCAACCACGAGCAAGCCTCACAAGAGACCACACAAGCCACACCCAACAATGACCACGAGGTGGACATTGACAGGGATGTACCTTGGGAGTTTGATGGCCAGGGGGATGGCATACAGGAAGGGCTAAGATCCGCGATGCCAGATCAACATTGCGGTGTCCAAGTTGAGGAAGTAGACGACGAGGAAAGGATGTGGATGCGATTCATGCAGTCATACCCAGGGCAAGTAGCGCAAACACTGGGCCATGCTGAAGCGATGTTCCATGACATCAGAGCCCAACAAGAGGCTTGAGGTCTGGATCCATGGGCACCATTCACAGATGCAGAGGAATGGGGACTTGTCAAATGGTTGGTATCGCGGGTGGGCCAAAATGCAATAGATGAGTTCATGAAACTGCCAATTGTAAGTCAGTGTGTTTCAGCCGCAATTCACAATGTACTCACCAATGCGCAGATGAGCTGCCTTAAAATGTCTTTCACAAGCAAGTACAGTCTGATGAAGGCAATAGATCAGCTTCCCTGTGGCACAGAATGGCAGTTGAAGAGAATAAGTGTAGAGGGCAACAAACTCACCAATGAACGGCAGTACAAGACTGAGGATCTTGAGTTGTAGATGTGGGACCTGGTAGAGTGCATCCACGAACTCATGGGAAATCCAGAGTTCGATCACATGGTGTCCTATGCACCAGAGAGGGTGTTTTCAGATGCGGAGGGCAAGACCAGGTGGTTTGATGAGATGTGGACAGGTGACTGGTGGTGGGAGATGCAGTTAAGCGCCAGTGTCTGCTGATCTGGCAAAAAACGCACTAAAGCCTTTCCCACAGGGAAGATTGCCCCAAGGGGCTGTTGTCGCTTCAGTTATCCTAGCGTCCGATAAGACTTCGCTGTCGCAGTTCCAGGGAGACCAGGAGGTTTGGCCTGTGTACCTGAGCCTCGGAAACATCTCAAAAAATGACCAATGTCAGCCATCCAAACACGCCACAGTCCTCATCACATACTTACCAATCTTGAAGCTAGAATGCTTCATGCATGACACGAGGTCTGTTGAATGTTATTGGCTCTTCCACTATTGCATGTCACTGGTCCTGGAGCCATTGGTTAGCATAGGTGCGGAAAGGGTCGATGTCACCTGCCCAGATCATCAAGTACGACACCTGTATCCCATCGTGGCAGCGTACATCGCTGATTTTCCAGAGCAGTGCCTGGTGGCATGCTGCATGGAAAACTGGTGCCTGAAGTGTGTAGTGGGCCAAGAGGAGCGAGGGGACATGAAGAAATTGCCAATGCGAGATTGAAACTCCATGGTTGAAAATCTGCACTTGCACTGCAATGGTGAAATAGGAAAAGATCAGCTTGAAGGAGAGATGGGACTACAAGTGATCTACTCACCATTCTGGGCGATGCTCCCTCACAACGACATCTTCTCATGCATCACCCCCGACATTCTACATCAGCTGCACAAAGGAGTTTTTAAGGATCACATGGTCAGCTGGTGTGCTAATATCATAGGCGAGGAAGAACTTGACGCACGGTTCAAGGAGATGACATCATATTCAGGACTCCAACACTTCAAAAAAGGCATATCCAAGTGCAAACAATGGACAGGGGCAGATTATTGCGAGTTGCAGCGTGTCTTTCTCGGTGTGATTGCTGGCGCAGTTGAAAACAAAGTTCTGACGGCAGTGTGTGGCATCTTAGATTTCATTTACTATGCACAGTATCGGGTATGTGAACACTTCAATATTCCAAAGATTCACTCGATGATCCATTACATCAATGCCATTCGCTTTCTTGGCACTGCGGACGGTTTCAACACTGAACTGCCTGAACAGCTGCACATTGATTTTGCCAAACGGGCCTACTGTGCATCGAATCACCGCGACTATGTCATGCAAATGACCACCTGGCTACAATGCCAAGAGTCCATCCACATTCAAGATGCCTACATTCGCTGGTGGGTATCCCATCACCCCGTCAATCAAGAGTGGCAAGACTCGGATGCCAGTCACTCTGATTCGGATTTGGATGGCGCAGGACCTGGACTATTTGAGAACCGTGTTGACTTACCCTCTCAGGTCCAATGGTTCACAATGGTGACAGGTTCCCATGGCTACTTCATCCCTAGGACATGTCCGTTTCTGAATTCAACAATCCAGCGCTTACTTACCGACCACGATGCATCCCTTGCTCTTGAAGAATTCCTTCAGATACATGTTCCAAGCTGGTCATGCCAAAAGCTCACACCGCAAGATCGGGTGGATGTTTACAAGTACCTCAAGATTCTCTCTCCAGCACGACCCCATATCAACAACCGAAAGTGTTTGTTCAAAGTTCATGCATCACCAGTGATTCCTGCATCAGACGTGAGGAGGCCACCAGCACCTGCACACTTCAACAGTGTGTTGGTGATCAAAGATGGGAATGAGTACACCGGTGAAGGTATATCCGGTGAGCATTGTAAATTGGTTGTGGGCTCATTCTGACCTACCTTAGGTCTGCGAGTGGGTGAAGTACAAGTCGTTTTCAAGCTTCCATTACATCTCAGGAATTTTCCACACCCGCTGGCTTATATTCACTAGTTTTGACCCCTTCAAACCTTTGATGAAAATTTGCACAGCTTCCACCTCAGCAAGTCTTCATGTCAGCGTGGTCCTGACGCACTGGTGGTACCGGTCCATCAAGTTCTTCGCCTGTGCCATCTTATTCCTCGTGTTGGTTGAGAGTCAGATGTGTGAGAAGACTTTTATCTCAACAGGTACATTGATCTGGAATTGTTTGACCGTTTGTTTGTATCTTAGAAGCTATGATACCATTAATATTAACTATAGGATGCCATATTGACTATGAGTTACTGGGAAGACCGCATAGCTACTATTGGCATCACAGCGCGCTACAGTGAGGTATTTAGTGCAATGGATGGTCTATAGGTGCACTATTGTACTACCAAGGCTATGTAGTGATATATACTGTTGCAGCGTGCAACTCATGTCCGACCTTTTTCCTGATGTTTTCTCATGGCAGTCGCATTTTGCTCCTGGACGGCAAGTTTATCCTGGACAGCTGCAACTTGGCAATGGTCCATCTTTTTTGCTGCGCATCTATGATGACCTGAGCAACTTTTTTTGAAGCATTGGATGCACATGTAGAGACCATGGTCAGCTGCAGGAGTGAGGAAGAGAGCTGGTGAGCAGGACAAGTGGACTCTTGGGGCGGGGCAAAGAAGTGGTGAAGAAGGGTTGTTTTAGAGTGTTGTTACTATACGACGTGTGAGCACACCATTATGTACTTTGCTATTTACCGACCCTAAGCTCATTTTAATGCCAGTTGGAACTTGATGCTGGCTACTAGCCCTCCCATGCCCCGAGTCCTCAAGTGCACTGTGTTCTTGTCTCCTTGTTCCATATTTTTGGCTCGTTTCCCTGATTATTCACTTAAATTTGACCTATAGTCACTCCATTCTGACTTCTGCACCAATTGGATGAAAGTGCAGGACTTTCAATGTCAACTTAATACCTTGTCTGCACACTGGCTACAACCACTATTTCAAGAATCGGTCAGGTCT